GCCCGCACCTGCAGTTTACGGCGACCGCGAGGATTCCGGGGGCGCAGGTGCGCGCCGGGCGCCCGGCCCGCCGGCGGCTCCCCGCGCCAGGGATGTCCCAGTCGCCCCGGCCCCGAGGCCACTGTCGAGGAATCCAGCGTCCGGCGGCGGCTCTTGGGGCGCGGGGGAAGGGGACGCACAGCCCCGGCCGCCGGTTCCCACCACTGCCCCTCCCGGGTCCCGAGCCAGACACCATCCTAACCAAACCCAGGAGGAAACAGGGAAGAGTTGTAACAGAAAATTTTAGTGGTTGATCCCAGAGAAATTGGGGGATCCCCTCCCACCTGTCAGGCCCAGCACCACCTGTGGCCGGTGCCCTCAGCACCAACTATCCCGGGGCATTTTCTCGGGCCGGTTTTATTCCACTGCATTTCTGAGTTTTCCTTCACTTCTCGACTTCCAGTGTTAGGAGGGTCACCAGAAAAGGCTTTATCATGCCCAGAGACCTAGGTTCTCCAAAGACAGCCAAAGGAAGAGAAATATGCATCTGGGGGTGTGGGGCCTCCTAGGTGGTGTGGATTCTGACCATTGAATGAGGGGTGCCGTGCTGAGCGGTGACTCTGCCCTTCCCTCCAGACTCAGGAAGCTAGGAAACGAGAGAGGAATCGGCGTGGCTGGAACGTGTGAGAGTTGCACAGGGGCTAGGCTATGGCGCGTGCCTTGGCAGCCACTTGACAGGGGGCTCGAATGAGCAGTTCCTATTCGTTGTCGCAGTTTCCGCTGCCAGTGGTGAGAGATCATTCAGCACTGCGTTAGGGTTGGGGATGGTAAATGGGGAGTGAAACTAAATGCACTCATAATGTTGAGTGTAAAACAGACTGCTCTGTAAACTTGCACCTAAAGCACAATTAAAAAAAAAAAAAAAAAAAAGCAGAAGTGATAAAAAATAAATAAAACTACTTGCCATAGGCATTGTTTTCTGTAGCTGCACCTCTGGACCACAAGCCATGACATAATGTCTGCCAAATTTCGCTTGCTGCATTTCAGAAGAACGACAATATAAATGGCTAATGTTATACAGCACTCACTATTCTAAGAGCTTTACAGACATTGATTCTAATTCTTAGAACCCCTCCATGAGATAGATGTTGTTATTACCCCATTTTACAAATGAGAAAACTGAGGCACAGAGATTAAATGTCTTCCCAAAGCTGTTACATGGTGTGGTCAAAATTGGAACCCAGGCACACTAGCTTCTGAATCACTGCCCTTTTCTGGAGCTTCCCACATATGCTTCCCTTCACTGGAAGACTCACACTTGTCTTCTCACCCCCAGGACCGGAGCTGTGGCACGAGAGCTTCCCCATTGCCAAAGGAGAGCGCCAGTCCCCTGTTGACATTGATACTAAAGTCGTCAAGTATGACCCTGCCCTGAAGCCTCTGTCAGTTTCCTATGAGCAGGCGACTTCTCGGAAGATCTTGAACAATGGTCACTCTTTCAACGTAGAGTTTGATGACTCCCAGGACAAAGCAGGTCAGTGTTTAAAAAATAACTGGGGCATTTAGCCAGTAGCTCTCTCCCAAGCTTAAGAGGAGGAGTCGGCAGCAGTGGTGGAAAGCTCCCTAATGCAGGTTTGTCTCAGTACTCTTAGATGTCCCTCTGGTAATCTACATCAGATCCCAGGCTCTGAGAAATAGGCTAATTACTTTGAAGTGACCTGGGTTGGTTTGTTTCTCCCTTGTAAAATGCCTGGCTTCTATATAGGGCATTGAAGAACTGGATACGACTGTGTAATGTCACAAAAGACAGGATCACCTGCAATAAATATCAGCAATGATGAGATTTGCAAATATTGAACTTTGAAGATTCTAAGATATATTTTTTGTCCTGTTAATGGCTATCCAGTAAAATGTATATCTTAGTTTTATCTTCAAGGTAGTAATGAGGAGAGTGATGAAAACCTGACAATTTAAAGTATTGAAAGTCTTGAAACATTACCTTTATGAATATTTTTCAGTTTGGGGCTAGTGTGATTAGAGGAGCAGTATTCTTGGTATCTACCCAGATATTCATTCCACTAACGAAGATGTTTTAGAATCATTGCACATACCTGGCCTACTACTCATGGAACTATTACCGTAATTTATTTGTAAAGGAGCTCTTTGCAGGATATCCACTGAATGCTTCTTTCTTCTTATTTAGAAATAGGAGAACAATTCCGTTCAGACATAGTAGCAGACTTCCTTGCCCACTGGTTAATTTAATTGCCAGTGCCCTAATTTCCCAAGTGCTTTTCCCTGAAGGTCATTGAATGAACGGTGCTGCAAACACATTATGTTTGGTGGTGGTGCGGGGGTGGAGGGCAGTTGGAGGGAAATGAAAAAAGATAAAGAAAATATGAAGCATTGCTCTCAAAATTTTAGAGTAATAACCTACAGTATTAATACATTACACACTGTCTGTCATTATAATCAGTAGACATGCAGTCAAATGATCTGTTCTTTTCCAATAGCAATATAATTTGAGTCCCTGGGTGAGCAAATGTTGATCACACTCAGCTGCTAACCGATAGATTGGAGGTTCTAATCCAGCCAGGGGTGCCTCTGAAGAAATGCCTGGCAGTCTACTTCAGAAAAAATTAGCCATTGAAACCCTATCGAGCATAGTCTCATTCTGCACACTAGAGATTTCCATGAGTTGAAAATGGCTCAACAGCAACTAATCAGTCCAGTTTTGGGGACCAAAAAAAAAATATCTTTCCTGCCCCCATCTTAAATTTTTTTTTAATATGTGACTTTCTGAAACATGATTCAGAAAGCCAGTTCCATGGTATATAATATGGAGATTGTCTGAAAAATGTTTTCAACCCACCTGTGCCCTGTGTGTATCCTTTGCCAGTGCACACACATATTCACACATTTGGCACAGTATCATGACTTATTAGAATCGTGTTGAGGACATACATTGATTCTTAAATGATTCTGCTACACTGTTTCCCAAGCATGCCTCTTACCCCAAAGAAGCAGTAGTGAAATGATTTCAATTAAATATAAGGAAAACAATTTCTTTTTTCCATGGAAAGAATACTATATATTTAGATTATAATATGGTGAGGTGAATAGTCATGGAGGTGTTGTGCATATGGAAACAATGTTAGTTTTAAAACTAAAAAAGTGAGCTATGTTGGTCTCTACTTTTTAACTTTTTTTTTTAAGAGTCACAGGGAACATATATTTGTGTTTGCCAATAAAAATCATTGTTTCCAATGATATCTACCAAATTCTGTACCTCACTGGATGGAGTATAGAAATTGGATGCTTAATGTCTTTTTTGGAACAGTGAGAAAACAAACGTCTGATAAATGGAGCCAGATGAAGTAATTTTCTAAATTACTTACAAATTTGATAGTGAAATAAATTGTTCAGTATTACTAGAAAGTGGATTTCAGCATATACTTTGGGGGTTCCAAGAATATACTGGGGTTGATCAGACCTGGATTCCAGTTCCAGTTCTGCCACTAACTAACCCAGTGACCCTGGGAATGATCCTAAGTTAACCCATATTTTGCTTTTCTCAAAAGTAAAATTAGGGTAAAATTGTAAAATTGGGGTAACAGTGGTGTTAACACAGAGGACGAATACTGAATGTACCATGGACTGCCAGCAGAGCAAACACATCTGTCTTGGAAGAAGTACAGCCAGAATGCTCCTTAGAAGTGAGGATGGTGAGACTTTGTCTTACTTAGTTTGGACTCGTTATCAGAAGGGACCAGCCCCTATAGAAAGAAATCATACTTGGTAAAGGAGAGGGTGGCGAAGAAGAGGAAGTCCCTCAACAAGATGGATTGACACGCTGGTTGCAACAGACTCGAGGGCACCTAACGACAACAACATGATCCATCTACTGTTGGGTGCCCATGATGCCTATTCCAACTCCTAGCAATTCCAAGTGACAGAGCAGAATTGCCCCACAGGGTTTTCTAGGCTGTACTCTTTACAGAAGCAGATTACCAGGTCTTTCTCCACAGAGACACTGAGTGGGTTCCAGCCGCCATCTTTTAATTTGTTGTTGTTGTTATATGCCATCAAGTCGATCCCAACTCATAGCGACCCATCCTTGGGTTTCCCAGGCAGTATCACTACGGAAGTAGATTGCCCCATCTTCCTTCTGAGGAGTGGCTGATGGGTTTGAACCTCCAGCCTTCTGGTTAGTAGTCAAGTGCCTTAGGCACTATGCTACCAGAGCTCCCCAACTTTTAATAGCGAGCGCTTAACTGTTGCACCACCAGGGGTCCTTGTTTCATCCATCTAGTTCTTACAGGGAGGGAAAAAAAAAAGACAATACTAACACTAATACTAACACTAAATTAAATGCAAGATGAGCTAAGCATCCTAAGGGCAGGATGGAGGACTGCCTGGCAATACCTAAACTAGAAAGAGAACTAATACTAACAGCGCTTGGATGAGAACAAGAACAACCACAACAGTGAAAGGAGAAATGGCAGGAACTGTGGAAGTGCAGGAAGCCTAGGAGTGTGCAGGAATGATCAGGAAAGCCTTCCCCGGGCAAAGGAGGCTGAGGCGTGAAGGCTTCTGATGTTTGGGAGGAGACCGCAGGCAAATAGGAAACCCCAGGGGACTTGAGAGCAGTGTGTGCTGTAGACAGGCAGGTAGGCATAACAGAAACAAGGTTGAGGGATAAATACTAGAAAGACTCGCTGTCCTTTTACATATAAAAGACTCCTTTGTCATTTTGCCTCTACGTCTTGACATTTTCGGTTGTTATGGTAAAACAAGCAAGAGTTTTTTTAAGTGCTCCTCCCCAGCCAAATGTACAGCGTATTAAAATGCTGATATTAAAGGAAATCTATCTATAGAACCAATAAAATTAAAATGTATATTGTAGTAAAACGGAATATTCTTTAGCTTTTTTTTTTTCCTTATGAAACGTAGACTCAAAGCTAGAACAAATGGTTAGCAATACTCTAGTCAAACCCACGTAAAATAAACATGAAGAGCCGGAAGGGTAAAGGGTTTAAATAACATGCTACTCCTTTCATTTCTACTTTGTTGTGGTGAGGCTTAATGGCAAGCATGTAAAAATAGAATTTGAACAAGAATCTGTGAATGATAACCATGGCTGACATTCAGTTTACACATAACCATGTTTTTATAAAGTAATACACTTTCCTGGACATTTGTGCCTAGAAGTAATTTATGCATCTTGGCAAATAAATCCTTTATTCATTTTAAATCAACAGTTTAATATCTGTTTCATCGTATTTCTTGTGTTTAAATGCTTCATTTTTTTGTTTCCCTCAGTGAGATTTCAGCCTTCTTGAGCTGCTCATAGATTCAGATTTTCCAGTATGTTCTAAATGTTATCTTACACACAAATTTAAGTGTTTGGGTATCAAGGACTGACCTGGTTGAGCTTATTGCTATGTTTAAGCTGGAAAGAAAGCTGTAAATGTGGAATTAATTTACGTAGAAGCTTGGGTTAATGTTCTCATCAAACTTTTAAATTCCTTCTAAAATAAGCCACCTTGAGTTAATGAAAAATTCCTAATCCTCTTAGTTCTTTTTTTTTTTTTTTTAAATTATTGCAAAATAACTCTCCTTGCTTGAAATCTTCTATTATGTGCTTTATCTGAGAGAAAAGGGTAGTCAAATTATTAACTCCTACTAGTACCTTATTAACTTTAATTAATGAATTTAAAACTCTCCAGTATATTTCCAGGATAGGGGCAAATAACACTGAAAACTAATGTCTGAATTATTGGGCCAACGCATCTTCAACTGTCATCTGCTTTTTTTTCAAAAAAACAAATTGGAGTATTATTTCAAGGAAAGAGGAGGAAGGAAGCTACATGACTTCAGCCATGTGCATTTCAACCAGACCATTCTCTGTGATGAATCTTAGTACCTGAATCCTGCTTAATTTTCAGGGACTTGTTTTTGGAGCTTAAAATTTTCCTTCCACAAGCACTCATAAGTTCTAAAGAAACATAGCAACAAATAAAAGGAAGGGTCATAAACACTGTTAGTGCCATCTGCATAGTTCTAAGTATCTATAGAACTGACCAAAGGGGCTCTGGTGGCACAGTGCCTAAAGCATTTGACTGCTGACCAGAAGTTTGGAGGTTCAAACCCATCAGCCACTCCATGGAAGGAATGCACTGCCGTTGAGTAGGATCTAACTCATAACGACCCCTCCTTGGGTTTCCGAGGCAGTGTCACCACAGAAGTAGATTGCCCAACCTTCCTTCCGAGGAGTAGCTGGTGGGTTTGAACCACCAGCCTTCTGGTTTGCAGTCAAATGCCTTAGGCATTATGCTACCAGAGCTCCTCCATGGAAGGAAAATAGGAGCAATGTACTTCTGTAAAGATTTACTGCCTTGAAAACCCAATGGGGGATCACTATGAGTTAGAATCGACTCAATGGCAGTGACTTTTTTTTTTTTCCATAAAACTGACCAGAGTTTTTTAAAAACCTGATAGTTATGTTTGTGTCACAAGAAGTTATTTATTTATTCCTGTATAATTACTGTTTGGCCGAAACTAACGACTTCTTTTATTTTGGATTTTGATTGTGTTTACTCTGTTGAAAGTGATAGCTAAACATCTCACTCCTTTACAAGAAATGGAATGGAGGCATCTTTTTCTCGGATTCATCTACCTTGGCATTCCTTTTCTTCCCTTCAGTGTGGAGCCTTAGCATTACTGGCTACTGGTGAAAAGCAAAATAGTAATGCACAAATTTGATATTTTCAAATTGTTCATAGAGAAGATTGTTCAACTCCTGGAAATACTGTGTCTCAAGAAAAATTTATTCATTTACTTCATTAATAGGATATCCCATACATTTTATTTTAAAACTAAAGATTATTGGAAAAACTTTATGTGTATTTTGCATTTAAGGGAGATACTTGGCATTCACTTAGGTCTTTAATTAGTTGTTTGGATGCATCTTAAATTAAGTAGTAAATGATAAATAATTAGGAACAAGACATTTTTAAAAATTGACTTCAGTTTTCAATTTATATAGGTAATCTGATTTATTTCAGTATTACTGGGGTAAATCTCTTAATTTTCATAAATAACATAATTATATAAGTTTCCCAGACAATATGTTTAGGAAGACAAATTATCCTAGAATATTTTGTGCTTTACGTATATGTAGCAGGTATAACTAATGACTAGGCATGAAGATGAATGTCAGCTGGACCTCTTGGTGTTGAGATTTGAATTTACATTAAGATTTGGGAGTCTTAACAGACACTAGAAAGGAGCCCTGGTGGCACAGTGCCTAAAGCATTTGACTGCTAACCAGAAGGTTGGTGGTTCAAATCCACCAGCCACTCTGAGAATTACCGCCTCAGAAACCCAGTGGGTCAGAATTGACTCGATGACATTGGGTTTGGTTTGGTGTTGGGTCCCTGTGAGTTGGAATCGACTTGATGGCCGTGAACTTGGTTTGGTTTTTAACAGGCACTAGAGTAGAAAACTCCATGTATGTGTCCCCATCTCTCATGGAACACATTTCTGTGATACAGTAAATCAGTGACTCATTAAAGCCCCACTAATAGGGCTGGATTTTCCAGAGAAAAAATATGCAAGCAGCTATTTCTGCTAACTTAAAAATATTTTTGCATTAGAAAAATAGGTTTCATTTTAAATTTGGATAGTTTAGAAAATGGCATGTGGCAATCAAAATAAATAAGTAGAACGAGATAATAGGATTAAAATCCCCATCTTTTAACCAAACTGTTCTCATTTCTACTTTTCAAAAGGATGTATGCTATGTTTATTATTAGAGTTATGGCAATCTGTTGTTAGAATAATGTTTTTGAGGCACTTCATCGACTAAATTCCATGCTAAGAATTTGCCGAGGAATAGCCAGCTATTTGAAGATCAGGAATGTGCTCTCTCCACTTTAAGGATTTAATAATCTTTCCTAATTACACTGCTCTTCTAGTCTCACGGCAACATAGCTGTACTTTAACAGGAGCTAGAACAGGTAGCTGGTGATAGTAGATTAGTACAGAATGTGTTTGATCACCGAACCCAGAACAATTTTTAGTATTGACAAGCTTTGTCTAATGAAAGCTGATACGTACTCTTCTTTATTTGAAATAACAGTCTCTAAAACAAGTAAATTAGGATTGAATTTTAAGGTCTGCAAAGGTAAGAATAAGATATAGCAATAAACTTTCTCTCATTAAAACTTAAAATCATGGTGTGGTTCTTCACAGTAGGGAAGAAAATACATTTAGAAAGATCGGTTATCTCAGATGCATAATGTGGTTTTATTAATTCATTTTGCCACTTGGTGGAGTTAAGGATGCTACAAATGGTATTGTTCTGATCCTTCTGTTGGTTAATAGCTGTAAAAACCTATTATAAATGATTTTTCTTTTTCAATATCCTTGTATTGTATAAGCATACTTCATTTTTTAAGAGTATATTATTATGAAACTAATGGGAATTCTTTCATTTTTAAAAAAGCCTAGTGTTGGGGCTAAGGCTTATCGTTTCCTTGGGGAATTAACTGATAAAATTAACTTTTACAATGAGTACTTTTATGTTTCAGGAGATGGGATTTCAATCAGAATAGACCTAAATTCATGTTTCTTTAAAAGATCTATTAAAACAGCCTTCATAATTTTTTTGCCCCTCCCCTCCTTTTTAACTACCTGGGTGAGGCAGAGCTAGCAACCAGAGGTTGTATATCGGGAACCACAGAAAGGCCCCACTTCCTAAATATCTTCCAGCACATTATATCTTTTACTTTGAATAGCTGAATGGATGTTTGTACCATCAAAGCATATTGAGGTAAAGTTAAGTCAACAAGCTTTGTTGTACAGACCTTCTCCCGTTGTTTTGCAAAGCCAAAGTAACTTTGGGGCTCTTTATTTTATGAAATTGTAAACCAAAGCTAATAAACACACTTACAGCAACAAATGTGTTAATCCCAGTTCTAGAGAAATAAAACTAAAATTGTAGAACTGAACTAATTTGAAAATCTTTTAAATATGTTGGTTAAATTCCATTAATACGTATTAACTTAGGCTTAAAATTCTTTGTGTGCGTGTGTGTGTGTGTGTGTGTGTGTGTGTGTGAGAACAGTGAATTTTTTACTATCTTATATTTTCATTCAAGCACAATTTATTAGACTGGAGAGAATTATCTATTCTACTATTTTGGTATTAATGTAACTTTGTAACAATGAAATCAATATAAGAAATCAATTCTTAAACTATAGAGGATTATCTATGTGTAGATAATTAAGAATGTGATTTCTAGTCATGATTTTTACTGTAACAAAGTTATGTTAATACCTGAATGGTAGAATCATAGAATAGTTATTACAGTTAGTATTTTAAATTCTTGGAGGTAGTAGAACCTAATACATGGCATATGGTAGATTATCAAGAAGTTCTTACTGAAGTAATAAATTCATATATCCATTTTACAGATGAAGGAATTAAGATCAGAGAAGTTAAATAAAAAATTTTACGGGGAAAAGCTAGTTAATAGAAATGACAGCCCAAATGCTAAAGAATTTGGGAAGGCTGTGTAAGGACAATTAAAGTTTATATTGTTAAGATCAATACCTATTATTTAATAAGTTCTGGCATGTAAGAACTGGTATCGGAGGTTAGCAAAGCAGATTGTAGGGGAGTCATTGAGCCATGGGAGAGAGGTTCCCACGTTTGCAGTTGCGTGCGGCAGACCAGTGCCTTGGCAGGTAGCTATCTGGGCACTTCCTAAATGATTCATATAGGATTTAGCAGGACCATTTAAAGTTCCCTCTCTCTACACCTGAATCTATGACTTCAATACAAAACCTTAAGAGAGAGATTCACTGTGCTCAGAAAACATAGATAATGGGGAAAGTATCAAACCTTCAGCCAACATAGGTAAAGACAAAACCAATTGAAATGACTTTGTTCATCCCTGTGGACTAAACCTGAGTCTGGAGTTAATATTCCCATAGAGGAAATGTTGTAAAGGCCTAAATGCGATACTATAAAACAGGATTAAGGATTGTAATGTTTGGTAGTATATGTGTTTCAGGTATGTATGTATGTATCCATATGAGTTTATATATGTATTTTATGCATATATGTATATGTGTATATGTGTATGTATGTATATATATCATGTGTGTGTGTAGCAGAATGAAGCATTGCCTGTTCCTATGCCTCCTAATGATTGTTGTTGTGTTTGAATCCATTGTGGCTATTGTGTGAGTCCATCTCATTGAGGATTACCCTTCACTGACCTCTGCTTTACCAAACATGAGCTCTTTGGTAGTAATTGTTTGTTCTTGATGATGTGTCCAAAATAATAGAACCAAAGTCTCACATCCTTGCTCGTAAGGAGCACTGTGGTTGTATTTCATCTAAGATTTAATTTTTTTTAGTACTGAGAGGAGGACCTCTCGAGGGCACGTACAGGTTGATACAGTTCCACTTTCACTGGGGCTCCTCTGATGCACAAGGTTCAGAGCACACTGTGGATAAAAAGAAATACCCCGCAGAGGTAAGAGACAGTCTTTTTTTGGTTTGTTTCCTTCCCATGGAAATTTCAAATTTCCTTAGGATATTAAGCCTCATTTAAAAAAACAAAAAACTTTAATTTTGTAATTTCAATCCAAACTAAGTGAACCACGTCTTTTACAAAGAACCGTTCCATTTGTTTCTAATAACCTTTATTTGAGATATTATAGTAATGGTGAAAAAACTCTTTGATTATCTCCAAAGGCACCATTTGCAAAAAAAAAAAAGGAAGAATTGTAGGATCCTGATAATATAAATCTAGAAATAAAATGGGGGCCCTCAAAAATAGGCATTTCTTTTTCTTAGAATTAGTGATGAAACCATTTGCCGTTATACACGTAGTGGTTAACTAGAATTAAAACGAAGGGCAAGGTTGTATTTAAAATTATTTACATTTTCCCTTTCTTTAGCAACCTAGTTATGAAGAAAAAGTCATTGGATAAAATCTGTGGTCATTTATTATTTAAGCCATTCATAGTTTATTTGTGATCTTTTTTCTCCTGGGGCTTTAGCTTCATTTGGTTCACTGGAACACTAAATATGGGGAATTTGGAAAAGCTGTGCAGCAAGCTGATGGACTGGCTGTTTTGGGTGTATTTTTGAAGGTTAGTTGATGGCCTAATTCTTTTTTTTCCTGTTTTCAGAAAAGATTGATCAGGCAGAACAGTCATAATAAATAGGACATTCTACAAAAGAGCCTAGGAAATGCCTTTGAGTTTTGTTCTGGTTCCCTAGTGCCACTCTGACAAGAATATACCACAAATGGGATGGCCTTAACAATAGAAGTTTATTCTCTTACAGTTTGGAGGCTTTAAGTTCAAGTTCAAAGTGTCAGGCTCTAGGGGCTGGGTGAAAGCCCCTCAACCTTGGACTTCAGCTCTGCCTCCTGCTCCCAGCCCACAGAAGCTATAGGCTTTTCTTCACCCAGACAGCTGCTGGCTGCTGAGGTTGCCAAGCCCAAGGTTGACGAGTAAAAAGGCACAGTTCTGATATTAACAAATCACATGGCAGGCCATTAATTCAAGTCCATTGTAAGTCCCAAGGTCGGCATATCATGTCAGGCTGCTGAACAACGACATGGGTACATGCAGGATTCAAGGTGCTATAAGCTAGAGACCATTCCCAAGGCTTCTCCTTATATACAGGAAGCAGACCACATCCCAAAGGCAGCAACTTAGCTGCTTATGGTAGATCCAACCATGGAGTTGATTGGCAGTCTCATCATGGGGAATGACTACCACCAGGTCTCAGCCACTCAACCAGGCCCAGCCAAGTTGACACACAAACGTAACTACCACAACTTTGAAGTATTTTCCCCTCCATATTTGCTAGTAGCAGTGGAATGGAGGATGAAAAGATAATTCAAGAGATATTTATTAGGTACTATTTGGATAGCTGTTGACTGCTAACGAGAAGGCTGGCGGTTCAAATCCACCAGCCACTCCTTGGAAGAAAAATGGGACAATCTACTTCCATACTGATACTGCCTTGGAAATCCAAGGAGGGGTCGCTATGAGTCGGGTCCGACTCTATGGCACATAACAACAACAAACAACATTTGGATGTGAATATCAAGGAGATAGTATATTTGGATGTCTAACAACGTTTTTTAATTCAACCAAATGCTATTGTTACTGTCTTGTGCCATTGAGTTGATTCTGACTTATGGCAATGCCGTGTGTTTTACAGTAGAGCTTCTCCTTAGGGTTCTTAGCTGTAATATTTATGGAGGCAGATTGCCAGGACTTTTCTGACATGGGTGCCAGTGAGTAGGTTTGAACCACCAACATTTCAGTTACCAGTGAGTGCAAACTGTTTGCATCAACTGGGGACCTTCAACCTAATCCTTGATAGGACTGTTTCATGACTGGAAAAAAAAAAACAGTTGCCCTTCAATTGATTTGACTCCTGGCATTCCCATATGTGTCAAATGTTGAATTAAGGTCAAGTTTTGGAGAGGCAGAGACTGGTTTTGGAGAATTTTGAGTAACAGTGGGACATAGAGGTAGAACTGCCCTCTAACAGTTGTCAAGAGGCGTGGAGAAAGGTCTGGCTGGATATTCATGGGTCCTGAGTACATTTGTGGAGGTAGGAGCTCCATATGTGCTATGAAGTATCCAAGGGAAGCATGGAGAGAGAATAAATCTGTTGCCGGTGCAATCTGAGCAGCTCTAATGTGTATGCCGTTCCAGGCAGGGACAGAGATGCTAACATGTATGCCGTTCCAGGCAGGGACAGAGATGCTAATTAAATGAATAAAAAGGAATATAAAAACAAAGGGAAATTCAAAGGCAGGAAAGTGTAAAGAAAACCAAAGTTTAGGGAATTTTTTAAAGGAAGGTAGACAGTGGTATAAAATCCTACAAGAAGTTTTAGATAGGCACTGGAAGAGTGTTTTTCGCATATGCCAGTTGGACATCAGTAGGGACATTTGAAAGGTTTTTTCAGGGGCATGTTGGCAATTCAGTGAAAGTAGGACCATCTGTGGCACCAGTGTAACCATGCTAAGGCTGCTGGATGGCATTTAAAAGTCAGTGGATTTTGGGGTGCTGTGTGGAGAAATTTTATGATAGAGCTGCCCAAACTAAAATTGCCAGTTGTTGTTGTTATGTGCCATTGAGTCAGCACTGACTCATAGCGACCCCTCCCTGGGTTTCTGAGGCAGTATCACTACAGAAGTAGATTGCCCAACCTTCCTTCCGAGGAGTGGCTGGTGGGTTTGAACCACCAGCCTTCTGGTTTTAACAGTCAAGTGCCTTAGGCACTATGCTTCCAGAGCTCCCAGTTGCCAGAGGGACATATTTTGTTCCTTGTGTTTTTCTACAGATTGGCAGTGCTAAACCAGGCCTTCAGAAAGTTGTTGATATGCTGGATTCCATTAAAATAAAGGTAAAGTTGAGTTTTCTGTCACCTCATGAGCTACCTATTTCCCATACTCCACTCGTTTTCCCAAATTCTTGTAATAAAATTAAATAATCTTTCAGCATGTCATGTTCAGATGAGTAGTAAATAAAACAGGAATTACATAATTAATTAACTTTTCTATCTCCAAAAGTTGATCCTAATACTAGCATAATTCTGAGACACTATTTAATCTTGTTTCCCATCACTTGAACACCCATGTGTTAAAGTCAGAGAATCTTATGGTGATTGCAAGAAGCTCAGAGGGACTCTGGTCAAATTACTCATTTATTCATATAGCAAAGATGTGTAGAGTACTATATGCCAGGCAGTTTGCTAACCCGAGAATACAAGGGGGAGCCAGAGAAGTAGGGCCCTGCTTCATGGAGTTTCATATTCTCTGAGTCTTTGTCCTTCTGTGTCTGAGTTCTCTTGACAGTGTAGCTCTGCTGAGATCATTGAACCTCAGCTGAGATGTCACAGTCACTTCCACGATGGACAGTCCTTGCTTTGTGAGGGCTCGTCCTCAAATTGAAGTAGCATCTATTTTCTGAAATACACATTCCTTCTAGCTTGACCCCTTGAGTAATATGGAATAAACCAGTTTTCCCTTCCAGATAACCTCCTCTGTCCCTAATAGCCTGTCACCTCAGGCTACTTATCTCCAGTTCCCTTCAGCTGTTTGTAAATGACACAGTTATCTGTCTTTGAAACAACCTTGTTACTCTTCCAGGAACTCGTTTCTGTTTGCATGTATTGCTTCAAAAGTATAGTATCTAGAACTAAGTGCACTTTTTAGTTCTGATCTGGCTATCAAAGAGGATAGCTGGACAATCACCTCATCATCAGAGATACTGTGTTTCTGTTACTGAAATCTGAAATTATATCATTTTAATAGCAGTAGTCTAAATATTGGACATGATCAGTTTATGACTTCGTGGCAAATACAAGAGATTATTGTGGAGGACAAGATGAAAAAATCAGATTTTCTTGCTCATATCTGCCAGTCTTTATTTTCAAGTCAAATGTCATTTAATTTTTTTGCTTTATCTGCCAGTGAATATGGCACTTCTCTTTAAAAAATGGTTTCTGCCTGTCTATCAGAGGGGAGTGTACCTATTTATATTTCCTACCTTCCTCTCACTCTGATCATGTGGCCTTTTTAACCTGTGTATTTATTTGCCTTTTTTAGGGTCAGAGTGCCGAATTCACTAACTTTGATCCTCATGGCCTCCTTCCTGAAAGCTTAGACTACTGGACCTATCCAGGCTCACTGACCACCCCTCCACTTCTGGAATGTGTAACCTGGATTGTGTTAAAGGAGCCTATCAGTGTCAGCAGTGAGCAGGTTGGTTTCTAATGAGAGGTCTGTTAAGAGAGGAGGAACATTTAGTCTACGCAGAGTAGTTTGGCCTTTGCAGTGAGACCTGGGCCTTAATCCTTCTGCTGCTGCTCATAGCTGTGAAGCCTGGTGCCTACCACAGTGCCTGGCGAGTAAATGGCATTCAGTAAATACTCATTGTTGTTATAAACTACAGTATCTTAGGCAGCTTGTATTAGTCTGTAAAATTGGATAGTCATTGTGAGAATTTAACGAGAAAGGTGTCTGTCACCTAGTAAGTGCTCTTTTGTAACCTGTAATGAAACTGAGGCCCACAGAAATGAGACTTCATGTTCAAGATTACATAGGTACCAGTGATCATTTCCAGCCCACTGTTCATTCACATCAGAACTCACTGTGGTTTTATTTCTGTCAGGGTATGTTTCTGATTTCTAACAAATTATCATCCTTTGAAGAAAAAGCGTCTATCAAAACTCACTCTGGGTTGATTTAGAGGCTTAGAACAGAGACGCCTATATTTAGCATACAATGTAGTTTGTGATGTTCAAGTGCTTAATGCAGCTAAGTCACTGATGAGTGGCCACAAAGCGTGGGTATAGATGAATTTGTCCTGGACCAACCATCTCTATCAGCCTACCATTGAAACGTATAAAATAGACATTCCTTGGCAGGATCCGTAAAAGCTTAGATCCTGGATAATTTAAACCTACAACTAGAGCTAAAACATTTTAATACTGAATTTAGAATCAAAGAAGTTTAGAGGTGGAATGTGCTTTAGGGGATCACAGTGTCCAAACTTCTCATTTTACAGGTAAGCAGCCTGAGGTACAGGGAAGTTCCTATCCTGTGTCCTATGTTTTCATTTAGAGTATTAGTTTATGAGTTCCACAATATTCTAAGTTCTGGTGGCACTATGGTTAAAACATTGGACTGCTAACCAAAAGGATAGCAGTTAGAACCCAGCAGCTGCTCCATGGAAAAAGATAAGGCAGTCTGCTTCTGAAATGGTTTACAGCTTTAGAAACGCTGTGGGGGGTAGTTCAAGGAACTCTGGTGGCATAGTGGGTAAAGCTGCTAACCAGAAGTGTGGCAGTTCAAACCTACCAGCTTCTCTATGGGAGGAAGATGAGGCAATCTGCTTCCATAAAGATTTACAGCCTTGGAAACCCAGGAGGGGTCGCTATGAGTTGGAATTGACTCGATGGCAGTGGGATGGGGTAGTTCTACTGTGTCCCTACTGTGCCCAATACAGTTGCTATGAGTTGGAATCAACTAGATGGCAATGTATTTGTTTGATATCAGCACAACATTCTACATCTTTCCTTAAAAGAAATCTGCTTCTAGCAGTGAAAAATTACTTTAGTATTTCGAAGGGGACCAAAGAAAACTAGTGTGCTTGACTGGTATGTGACTTGAAAATTGGCTTTATACTCATAAAATATTTGAGCAGTCTTCTTGAAGCAGTAGCATAAGAAAAGATTATAATGCCTCTTTTTATTTGTAAATGTAGTGTTTGAATTTCAATCTAAAGCATGAAAATTATTTATCTTTCCTTTTTACTGGAAGCAAACCAGCTTTGTGACCTATAGCCTGACATTGAGAGCTGTTACAATGAATGGATTTATCATGTACCCACACACACGCACCCATACAGACATATGTACCTACATACTCTAAACTCACTGCCATCGACTAGATTTGACTCATTCCATTTGGGAATGGGGTATCTTTCTTACATCAATGAAACAGGATTAGTATACGGTGTGTTTTGAGTCAATCTCTTTTGAGATATGAGAGATTATACAAGTAAGTGAGAGAAGCAAAGATGGGAAAAGAGAGATGCCAAGCCACATGAAAACCACCCAGGAGCAAAAGCTCGAAGAGACAAGGTCCTTCGCTTCAGAGCTGACAGAGAGAGAGTGATCCCCTAGAGACAGCACCCTGAATTCAGACTTCTGGCCTCCTAAACTGTGGGAAAGTAATTACTGTTTGTTAAAACCACCCATTTGTGGTATTTCTGTTACAGAAGCAGTGGATAACTAAGATAGTCAGTATGATCGCTTAACACCTATAAACAATTAACCCTCAGAGGATTAAGGGGAGAGCAGATGTCTGTTATAGGAGCTCTCGTGGAATCATGGGTAGAGCGCTTGACGGCTGATGAAAAGTTGGTGGTTCAGACCTACCAGCAGCGTCATGGGAGAAGGATGAGGCAATCTACTTTTGTAAAGATTTACAGCCTTGGACACCCAACGGAGGTCACTCTGAGTTGGAGTAGACTCGATGGCAGTGAGTTTGGTTTAGGTTTTTAGATGTCTGTTAGTGACAAAGTATGGGACTGGGGGAGGGATAATAGAAAAGGGTCTGTTACATTCAGCCACTTCTATTTTCCTATCCTCAGACTTTGAATCTGTGATGGTAAAATAATGAGCCAACTTGATCAATGTAAGAATATGATTCATTTGGGACGGTGAGGAGCAGAAATCCGACATCTGTTTGGGTGAAAAAAGTTTGATCTGGTGCTACTTTATAAAGCAATCCCAAATCTTTCAGATTACTGGGATTCTGTTGTAAAAAAAAAACCAATCCCTGGATGGCATTAGAAATTTTCCTTGCATTGCATAAAAATAGTCATGAATGTTACCATAGCTGACCTGTGTTGAAGTTGACTTTATAGGGGTGTTTAAGGGAATGTTACTAGACAACAGAGATCATATTAAAGTCTATTGATTAATGAGTACCTATGTTACTGCCAGGACCGTGGTGGCATAATGCTTAAGCACTGACTGCTAGCAAAAATGTGGGTAGTTGGAACTCACCAGCTGCTCCATGGGAGAAAGATGAGGCAGGCTTTGAAACCGTATGTGGCAGTTCTACTCAATTCAATAGCAGTGGGTTGGGTTTGGCATTTTTACATAACTGCCCTCGTTACTCTTCTCATTTAGATCAAGTCTCACATAGGAAAAGGTAAGTACAACTTTGGGGGAAAAGAAAAACTGGACAAAGTGGGAGATGAGATGAGGACTGTCTGTGTCACAGATGGGGCCAGGAAACTGAAGCCATCTGAAAGCGAATAAAAAATAACCATTAGCAAGGGTTTGAAATCCCAACCTCAGCAAATTCATTCTTATGTTTCTATATATTTAGGGAAGATGCCAGTGCATCACTCTGCCCCTGGAAGCCGCAGACGCTGGGCCACTTTATCTTATCGTATAAAGGCTTTGGTTTGTCTACCCTGCGGCAAAATACAAAGCTTTAATTTGGATCTAGAGTCACTATTACTCTGTAACTCAGAAGTATGGTTTTACAGGCTGTTGATCTTAAAATTAAAGAAGAAAAGACAACCTCACAAAAATTTCCTTCTGATGACACCACCAGTTTTATATCTAAATCTTATTTGTTATATGAAAACCATATGCGCAACAACAACATATATCATCTATATGTAATTATTTATTGAGAATCTTTTTGAATATGGGTCATTGATTGATACTGTGAATATTAGGGAATGTATTTCAAGGTGTAACACAAGCACATAAGTGAATCTTAATGTGACTTAATTTTTTAATTTTGTCTTTCAGATGCTGAAATTCCGTAACCTTAACTTCAGTGGGGACGGTGAACCTGAAGAACTGATGGTGGACAACTGGCGTCCAGCTCAGCCACTGAGAAACAGGCAAATCAAAGCTTCCTTCAAATAAAATGGTCTTAGAGCTGGTGTCCAAATAGTGAATCTTCAGATGTTTCCCTTTAGCTACGCAGGTCCCACAGCCAGTGTCCAAATACTGAATCTCTGGTGTTTCCCTTTAGCTGAGCACAAATCAACCCTAGTGATTTGGACCCTGTCCGCTTTGCATCTGGTTTTCTAGACCCTTCGTGTCTCACCTGACTTACTGAGAAAGTGTGAAGAGCTAGACCGGATGTCATACTTGACAGAATGGCTGTGACTGGTGCTTTGCTTAAAAGCAGTAGCTTTTTTGTAACAGAGAATATAATATGAGGAACAGGAATAAAATAACTTGATTTTGTTAACAGCACATAGGATGAAGAATACTTGCAATTGTTAATTAAAATGATATTTTAAAAACTATGAAAGCAGAATGGTTGAGAGCAAATTCTTATCATGAGGTAAATAGAGGTATGTAAGGTAAATCAGGTAAACTAGCCATGATTCTGTGTAATGTAAATCAGATCAAATAAATGTTCATGATTCCAAGATGTTATATTTTGAAAAAAAAAAAAAAGCTTTTAAAATTCTTATATATTTGTAGCAAAGTTACATTAAATACAAATTATGTTGTAATTTAGTGACTTTGGAATTACTGAGATGTAAATGAAGTATTATCTATAAAAATTGTTATAATTATAGTTGTGATACAGATTGTATTTCCATTCAAATAATATATCATAACTTAATAAATATTGTATTTTAGATATATTCTCTAATAAAAAAAATCAAATTCCATTTTGGGGTATTTTACTGTGTCCTGGGCCAGTGGGTAGTAACGGAGAAGCAAATGTCTACTTTCATCCTTCGTGTGCCTCCTAACAGAAGGCTCCATCAGAGGGAAAATCCTTTATGTCATCTATCATGGACTTACTGTTTGCCAGGTGCTCCTTTAAGAGTTTCCAGAGTGTAAACTCATGCAATCCTCATGATGCCCCTATGAGAATTCATCCTTAAGATCATGTTTAAAAGTAGCAAGGTGGAGAAGCGAGAGAAGGGTGAACATGCTGAATCAATACAAACTTCTTGGAAATAAAATCAGTGAAAATACCTTTTATTCAAAAAGGGAAATCAAAGGATAACTTAAAGGAATAATTTGAAGCCTAGAAACACAAATTACACTTCTTTAAGAGGAGAAGAGGGCATAGGCAAACATCTCCAACTCTCAATGCCTGTGTCCTGACCATGCAATGGTTGACTAATGAGTAATTCTGAAAATCAAGTTTAGTGTACAACTCAAATTCTACTCTTCAGGGCATAAAAATTTTGTGCTACTTTAGGTATAAATGTTCTAAACTCATTTATACTCTTAACTACTTAAGAATGACACAGAGAGAAAGATCGTAAGCTTCAGAGTTTGAAGACTTGTTTTGAATACTAGCTCTTCCTCACCTCTCTGATCCTTGGTGTAAAGAAAGGATGACCTTGAGAGTTGTTAGAATTGTATAGCGTAGAGCCTAAGGCACTTGACTGCTAACCAGAAGGCTGGTGGTTCAAACCCACCAGCCACTCCTCGGAAGGAAGACAGGG